CATTCTCCCTCGCCGTTTTTACACTCGCTCCAGACCTTTCGTTCGAATATTGACCGTCGCTCGCGTTCGCAAAAAATACGACTGTTTTGCAGTCTACTGACAGGCTGACTGTCCGACCGACCGACAGACGGACTGTCTGATCGTCTGACGGACTGGCTGACTGGCTGACTGGCTGATTGGCTGACTGGTTGACTGGTTGACTGGCTGACCGGCTGACTGACTGACTGATCGACTGACTGACTGACCAACAAACTGACTGATTGATTAATTGATTGATTAATTAATTGTTTATTGATTGTTCCATGTTCAATTTGAGAAGACTGAAGTGATCCTGTCGTTTTGACTCGGTCATACTCCTTTTACTTCACCGACAAGTCCAAATTCAACACACGCACGAATTGTATGCTAATATTGACTCATCTTGTCATTTTTTTTCTCTCTGTTTTAGATTCTCCATTCACTATCACTACAGTGGTTGTTATTGCCATGGCTGTATTCTGTGCTGCGTGCCTGGCAACTATAGTCTACTTGAAAATGAAACTTGCTGCGAAACCACAACCCGACCCAGACAGAGAAACCTACCTATAGACTTCATGTAACCATCACCAGCTGTCTTTGAGGTTGTCCGTGGCCTGGTCATACGGTCCCAGCACTTTGATCCACAGTCATCCGAAATTGTTGGGTGGGGAAAATGTTAATGTGTTTGGAAAAAGGCTCCTTTTTGTGTACCGGACACTGATAAGAACACATTCTTTAACGTTTCATTTTATTGTTTGTTAGTGAACGTACTTAGCTACAGAATTATATCTTTTGTGCGTACGCAAAGGAAAAGCCTTGTGGGACACTTCAAGATGTTGCAGGGTTTCCGTCCGTTTGATCACAACATGTAGTAACACGGCTCAACAGACAGAGATGCTGTTTCAAATTTCCGGGATCTTTTGACCAAGAGCTTTAAGCTGCTTTACACTGAAAGAACTTGTACGTTAATTGGCGTATTAGTAACAAGTGTTAGATACTGCTACCCTGTGCATTGTTTCGTTAAAAATAGATTTAAGCGTTGAAGCGCAGTTATAAAAATAAAGAAGTAGTTTGGTTTGTATAGAATGCTTGGATTGTAAAGAATAGAAACTATTACCTCACAGACGTCCCTTACGTGAATTTTAGAAATATCTTCGTTGCCATCCTGCTCGCTATTTCCGACGTGGCCAGTGATCCCAATACCTGATTTCAATGTAATTGCTTAGATAGCAGAAAAAAGGGCTAAGTGTTCGTCGCGACCAAGGACTTTCGCATGTCTTCTAATATGTAGATTTTTTCTCACTTTTACTTCGGTTAGATAATGAGCTACTTGCGTCAGAAATGCAAAAGAAAAAAAGATATCGGGGTCACCAACTTTGTTCCAGACATAATGTCTTTGAAAAATAACCAAGAAACACGACATGGGCTCGAGGATTTTTAGCTGAAAATATTGAAGATAATGGTCCCAAATGTTGCCATTTTTTTACAATTTTAAGCAAAAAGCTAATTCGATGGTGTTTGAGGCAAAAATTAACCCGACCCGACGGAGAAACCTACCTCTAGATTTCATCTAACCATCACCAGTTATCGTAAAAGTTCTCCATGGCCTGGTCATACTGTCACAGCGTTTTGACCCAAAGTCATCCGAAATTGTTGGGTGGGGAAAATGTCAATGTATTTGGAAAAAAAGGCTCCTTTTTTGTGTAACGGACACTAATGAGAACACATTGTATAATTTTTCATTTTAGTGTTTGTTAGTGAATGTATTTACATGTAGTATTTTATAATTATTATATTTATTATATTTTGTCTTTTGTAATTACACAAAGGAAAAGCCTTGTGGGACATCTTCCTCGGCGGTAACATCTATTTCATCACTTGAAATCCACATTTCAAGGGTCTCCTTCATGTTGCCGTTCAGCAACTTTTTGAAGAAAGGACTGGCCTCTGAGAGGACTCGTCTGCGAGCTTTGAATTCTTTGCCATCTTTGACCACCAAAACAACAGCGCATGGCTAATCGAGTGTGTCCTTTGGTAAAAAGACTGAGTTCACTTATACTTTCCTTCCTTCGGCTTGGAATATCTTGCACTCAGCTATCAGCAGATTGTACTTCGGCTGCCATCTTACATGTAGATGCAATTCCTAATGTTTAGTGTTTAGTTCTCAAAATATTATGATGAGTCATTGCAAATTGCTGATTCATGATAACTGCCTTAGAATATTGCTTTAGAGTTTGTTGTTATATAATTATCACTCACAGGTGGCCTCAGAAACCATGAATCAAAAGCCAACTCGTGATATGAGAAACGGACATATTTCATGTAAAACATGTGACAAGGCAGTCAAAAAGATTTTAAGGAGTTTGTATATTGCCTAACACAGTAAAAAG